AATAAACAGCTAAATAAAGGAGACGTCACTTTTTAAAAGTTGTCTGACACTGACAGCATCTCCATAAGGATAATGATACTTTTGTTTCCAAAGCGCTACCTGTGCTATCTGCAAAGCAGTATAGGAACTAAGTATTATTATTAGAGATGGAAAAGGCTTCTTAGATCACCTATCCATCTCTGATGTAACAGAAAATGACAGTGATTTGCTGCTGTGATTTGACAGTGGCATTTGTAAAAATGTCCTTTTTTCTTAACTCTGCAAGTTTCAGTGCTGAGGATTCAATAAGCTAGACAGCTTACTAACTTTGTCAGTCTCCATTTCTACGAAGCATACTGAAATACATTCATTTCAGGCCCACATTTCCATCTTCTTCCTTCAACTTTTATTTTTTGAGGTGGAAGGAAAGAACAATCCTCATAAATATAGCATGTCAAGCTTCACAGAATTGGTGCACTCCCCAGGTGCAGACCACTTGCATCTCACCCCTTTGCAAAGCAGTAATTTAGCATCCTTCCTGCTCGGGATTGTGCATCATGTAGGAGAGAAGCTGTTGCGCATGTTGCTGGTGTTTTCCAGCAGGCTTCTAACTCCAAAGCCATCACAATATACCCATCACAATGCGCTGTGAAATGAGCATGCATCCATCATGTAACCTATACAAAGTGGATGCCTGATCAGATAATGCATAGAGTCTTACATGCTGGCAGTCATTAGAGGTCTGCAGAACTCCTGGTGGTCGATACTGGCAGGTTGAAGATACTCCTCCTCATGGAATAAGGCTCTGCTCCTCCATCAGTTTCAAGAGAAAGAATTGCTTCTGCTTTTCCTTATACTCCCTAAAATGTCTTGGAATATTTGCTGCAACAGGTTTTCAATTTAAGTGCCGATATAACCAAATGTCTGGAGGGAAATCAGTTGAAGTATTCAGAAGATGACTCTCAATATGATTCACACTGCTGTGAGCAAAGAAGAGGACTGTCTGGCCTTCTGTACTGGAATGATAACAGATATTGGATGCAGCGTTACTCAGATAAAGTTAATGGCAGTGACATCTGGTAGATGATACAGAAGAGTAAACTCCTATCACCTGTTTCCTAATATTCTGTGCCCAAACCATTATATGTCAGACTTGGTAAGAGTGAATAACCTTTCAGTATCTATCTCTCTTCCCTCCCATGCTCTCAGTCGTATGAAACTGAGGGACTGCTACATGAATCACCTCCACATATTCACAAAGACAGAAGAGCTAAAAGCCGCCAGGGAAAAAGGATTCAAAGTACTGGCCTCCCCAACATTTAGCAGTCATTGTACAGACTTACACATTCTGAAAGGCTTCTCTCAGACATAACAAATGCTTACATAAAGTCTGGTACCTTCAAAGTGTTTCACCAGCATAAATATATTAATAAGACCTTTCCGAGAAGAGAATGCAGTGTCAGAGAGATGTCATTCAAATGGCTGGGCTCTTAGAGGTAGAGCTTCAGATATTTCATTAAACCTTCATCCTCTGCCATCAATGTCAAGCCCGCTTAGAAAGAAGGATGGAAAGTACAATGGAACTTTATGAGCAAAGAGAAAAGTAACTGCTCGTAAAATGATTTTGCCCTCTCTGATTGCAGTGTTAATTAGATTGTATATTCTGTGATGTGCATCAACTGAATTCAACATAAATTGAAACAAAAATAAGATTTTTATACTCAGTTTGACTGTTGCCACCTAGATGGTTCTTTCAAAGAGACTGGTGACAACTGCCACTGATGTGCTTTGGTATACATCTTGTTTAGGGGTCATAATGAAAACATAAAGGATAGTCTGGCACATGACACTTGATTAGAAACATATTTAGAATTTTAGTTAGCACTAGGTTGTTAAGAACTGACAAACTTACCCTAAGTGCTGAAGGAAAGAAACCATGTCATTCTTTAAATATTGTAGACCACATACAGACACCCTCTTCAATGATAAATTCATTATGCAATTGTAACATGCAGAATAGTCTACAAAAGCTACTTTTGTAGCAATAGAATTAAGTTTGTCATACATTTTTGGAGGAAAACCAGTTGCTTAGGTTTTAGTTTGTTTTTTTTTTAACAATGTTTTCTTACAAACAGTAAGCCAGAACACCATACCGTGTTTGTGACCAAGAGACAGGCATGTGTTTGTTGCTACACACCTGGCATGGGTAAATCATGTTAGCCTCTGTACATGCAGTACTGTATTTGCTAATTCTGAAGCCAGGGTACTTCGTGGTTGCAGCTGTATCTGCTGTGAATTCTGCAAAGTCAGCTGATAACAGGTTTATGGAGATAGGACCTTTCTCTTCCTTCTCTGTCCCCTATTCTATGCACTAGACTTTGTTTGGCATCTATGTTGCAGAGCAGAGGCTGGAACACCAAAGATGGTCAGGTACCTGGCAGTAGTCATATATGGAAAAATGACATTTTGCGTGAAACAGCTCCCAGACTACTGACAGACTCTTGGTTCTTTATAGAGATTTATTTTCTAAACTGGGCTAAGCAATTCTCTGAATTAGGCTCACCATATATATGATGGAAGTAGAGTTTCCATAACAGAGCAAAAATAAATGAAGAGCTTTTTTGATTAGAAATGCTTAGTCTGCCTACATCATGAGTAACTGGTTTCTGTGGGGTCACTTTTTATTTGTACAGTGAGCTCAGGAGCTGTTGTAGAAAAGCTACAACTAGTATATAGAAATATAAGATTAACAAAGAGTCCAACTAACCTGAATTATGATACATTCTCATATTTATTGGATACCTTGCATGCTTGTGAGCATAGAGATGCAAAAATGAAGCAGGAGACCTCCTGTATTATGAAAAAAATATCTAGGGAGTTCGTGTAAGCACAGTTTTCCATGATGTATACACAGCATGATATTGCCTAGGTTATTATATAATATATAATAAGAAAATAAATAAAAAAGCCACACGTAGGTATGAACTTCAAAAAGGCTCTATAAAAATCCTACAAATATGACAGTGTTTTTTCTGCATTTAAAATACCTGAAATTTGGAGAAAGGTGAGGGCAGAGGCTCAAAAGGGAACTAAGAAAAGCTACTTTCTTCTAGCTGACATGACTCTCATGCAAATATATTAGAAGTGACAAATGACAAACAGATATAGAAATATACATCTGTCAGTTCACTTGGGCTCTGAAAACACAAATTCTGTACAACCCAGATTTCATCTCTACTGCAAACTATTCAAAGCACCTGTGCTTACTGTTGTAAGATCCAAATACTTTAAGAATAATTTATTTTTATTACCCCATTCTGTTCTAATAAAGACTTACTTCCAAGTCAGAATGCATTTCTAGAAGTAGCTCACACTGTTCATTATCTATTTCAACCAATGTTATTTTGTTGTTTTCTATCAGCAGGATATGAACCTTATGATGCAACCAAGCGACTGAGTCAGGTCCTACTGTGGATGTGAGCTAGAAAACTCAACAGGCATATGTTCTATTTCATAAGACAGATGAAACCCTACACTGATTTATACCATGTTATCAGTCAGTTGCATATGGGTATATCATTGCTTATATGCTAGAAGCTTAAAGTTATACCAAAAAGGTAAATTTTCAATTTCTCTTTGCGTAGTATTTGGCTTATTTTACATGTTTTGAAACAGAAGAATATAAACCACTTTAAGATCATACACAACAGTGCAATAAAAGTCCAATTTCATACTTAATAAAGTTTGCAAAGATTAATACACTGCAGTTTCACATTTCCAGCCTTCTGGTATGCTGAGGCCTTAAATGAACAGGGCCCTTGAACTGCAAACTTTTTATCTTTTTATTTTCATCCTTAGCTATAAGAGTGGAAGGAACGTGGCCCATATAGCATGGTACCACTGCATATGCAGGAAGAGCGCCCTGCAAATGCTGTAGCTATGAAACAATTGCATGCAGAATAGTCTCAATGTAGCAGTGGCTTTCAAATCAATAAGCAGCGAAGAAAAACATCTGAAAAGACAGTCTTTGAAATCACAGAAAAAGGCAAGATGAAATCTACCATTTTTGAAAGCCTGAGAAGGCTGCATGGCTCAGCACCTGATGAGTTTTTCACAACTTGTAACCTATATCCAATATTCAGGGTTTTGTCACTTGTATTAAGGAAAGATTTAATCCAGCAATTGTCCCTTTAATTACAGAAACTAAGGTTTGAATCCAAAACAGCTTATTAGCTAAATAAACAACAAAGAGCTCAGATTCTGATTTCTTCTTCTCCCACCAGAGAACTGAAGCATGCTGTGCACTCTATTATGAGTGGGCAGATATTATCGTGCAATCAAAAGGAAAAATAATGTAAAACTGAGTACAAAACGCTCTTACAACAAGCAAAAAGGTGATGTGCCAGTATGAACAACTTCACAGGATGCCATGTAAACGTAGCACCATACCTACTAAATAATGAACTCAGGGGACACTGGCATGGAGAGGAAAATAGAAAAGATGATTAATATTCGAGTGAGATGACATTCCAAGGTCTTTGTCAAATGCATAATTCTAATCAATGGATATTATTGCATAGCAGCTCAATAGAACTGTAAGGTATTTCAGTGAATACCTACCATTAACTTCATGCACAATAAGATGCCTTGAGATATAAACATCGAGAATGATTAGGGCCACAAAGAAGCCTAAATACACACAGCTCTTTCTTACAATTCAAATGTAAATTCTATGTACCCAAACTGCATCAGTTCAAGAAAAAGTCAAATTCATGAAAACTTTCTTAATATGTTGCACAAAATATCAGAAAGATTGAAAATAGGATTAGCAAAGGAGAATGCACCATTCACAGAGTACTGGAAAAGATGTTTATCAAAAATTTATCAGGTGAAGTAAGTCTGAGAAATGCTGATAACAGATGGGAGCTGTCTTGGCAAAAAAAAGTTGCTGGTTTGACTGTTTCTGTGGCTGAGGATAAAAGTATTCCGGGGGAAAAGAAAAAAAGGTTGATTTTTCTTACCTCTTCCTTCTCTGCACTTTGCAAGTCCCTCCATTCCTCAGTGACATGACCGAAGTCCACTGTGTTCATCGCAACCTTATACTCCCCAATGATATCATGTTTGGAGAAACGATCAAAGTCATAAACTGCCATCACTAAAGTTTTTCCACCCAGCTCGGAGTATGGCACCTGCAAAGATGAGAAAATGACAAACTCTCTATCTAAAACAATAAAGATCAGTCCACTACAATGCAAATCTATTTCTTTGGTTTATCAGCTGTCATCTCAGGTAAATTGAGCTGCAGAGAAAATTATGAGGTGTATTTGTTTCAGAGTCACCAGGTGCAGTATTTTTTGAGGCCGGGCTCTGGCACTCGATAGAACAATGTGGCAGCTCACTTATCACTCCCCGCATTTTTCTCATTCTACTTCAAATCGTTTTGTGGGTGATGAAACTCAAACAGAAAGCCCAATTATTTGCAGTGAAGACACATGAACTTTTCACACAATGGTGTCTTTTCCTCAATAGATCAACTGTCATCACTCAGAAATGGATAGCTCCCAGACTGATGAAAAAAACAGAACTGGCTTACTCTATCTGACACAGAGTAATTAGACACTAAATAGTTCTCTTACGGTACCACTGCCTATTACTGACCAGGGCATATTTTTCATTATTATACCTTTCACACTGTAGACACTAAAGTGCTTTCCAAGTCACAGTGTACAGCTAGAAATTGTGGTGCCAGAAGGCCAAGTTCTGACTAACTCACCAGCTGTTTTGATGTTTTGGACAGATGCTGTGAGTTAGGACGCTTATGAGTCACAACTTTAATATTCGGATGAAAATGTGCAGCTCAGGTAAGCTACACTTGCGTGGCTGTCTGGAGAGGTCTGATTTAGGGATTGTTTGGACTTATATTGAACACTTGGTCAATTTGCATATATTCTGCAAGTATAAATGGTTTCCATGGGCTTCAGTAAACATTTTGTTATTAATTGTCTATACAAAAACAGAAATGAAAGTGTGGCATTATCACTGGCCTTGTTAATTTCTGTATGTTCCGGTCTGTTTAAACCCAGGAACTGTTGTCTTCTGCTCATGTCTGCCTTCAACTTGCTTTTCAAAATATTTACTAATAACATAAGGACTTTCTTTCCTAACATGTTATATAATGTTTAAAAGAATCTTTTCAAGTTGAGAGCCAGCTCCAGCTTCCATTACTGAGTAAATTCGTTTCAGTGGGCACAGGGTTATGTACTGCAATAAATACTACAGCAAAATCTATTTTGATTCTGCAAATTCTGTGTAGCTTCTAAAAAGTCATAGAAGGCAAATATATGTGGAAGGCAGAATACTAAATAATTTCACTTTTATTTTTACACAGACTCAAAAACATGAGAAGAGAAATGTTCTAAAGTTTCCTTCTCCATCAGTTTATAATGCCACTTAATGGATCCTGGTCATTTGGAATGCATGGAAAGACTACATCTATCATTATTTAGTTGTGGGTTTTGTTTTGTTGTTTTTTTTTTTTGTAACTTGACCTCACTAAAGCTTGTTTTAGCTACCTTCCTTTTTAAATGCTTCCTCCCTTCTTTACCTCTAAAGTAGCCTCAGCCTCCAGGTTTGTTCAGGACTACTAAGGATGTCCTCAGCTCTTGTGAAGGACTGCTCCCTCTCCCTGCTTTCTGCTCTGCTCAGAGATACCCAGCCTCTTGACATAATTCGGGTAAGACCCTGGTAGATGAGTGTTTTTCTGGCATGGACATGTCATAGAATCACAGCATGCTTTGAGTTGGAAGAAAACTTAAAGCTCACCCAGTTCAAACCTCCCTGCCACGGACAGGGACACCTTCCACTAGACCAGGTTGCTCCAAGCCCCATCCAACCTGGCTTTGAACACTTTCAGGGACGAGGCAGCCACAGCTTCTTGCGGCAACCTCTTCCAGTGTCTCACCACCCTCACAGGGGAAAACTTCTTCCTAATGTCTAATCTAAATCTACCCTCTTTCAGTTTACAGCCATTCCCCCTTGGCCTGTCACTACAAGGCCCTTGTAAAAAGCCCCTCTTCAGATTTCATGTAGGCCCCCTTTAGACATGAACACTCTTTCTGCTTTGGGGCTGAGAAGGAAAACCCCCCTCTGCCAGACTGGTGTTGGCCATCTAGGATTCCTCAGTTCCCTTCTGGCAGTGTGGTGCAGGTATACAACTCAGACAGCTGGAGCCTGATTAACACATGCACCCTGGAACAGCACCACAGATATCTGGGAAACAGAACTGAAAAGGGGACTAACACAGGGAACCACTCAAAGAAAAGTAGGTTTGAGGTCCGGGGCTGTGTTATGTTTCTGCAATACATAAGAAACATAACGCGCTCACTCCTATTAGCCTTTCTTTAGGAGGAAGGCTGGCAGCTCACAGCTGTGCCCTGGGAGGAGGTAACAAAACTGGCCTGGGCTGCCTGGTGGGCATTTCTGCCAAAGCGACAGATGGCAAGGATGCCAACAGAAGTTGTGCACTACCTGAAGTGGGTCACAGAAGTAAGGCTCTGCCCAACTACATCGTCAGTAGTTCCCACCGAAATTATTTATTACAGTTGCAGCAGTAGTTAAATGGTCACTTTTCTTTTACACTGTAGTCCCCAGAATAATGATGGTATTTAGCATGCCCCATGGGTTTTCTCTTGAGTACAGACCACAGTATCAAGGGGATAATCAGTTCCATACTGGGATGCACCTAAACATTGTCAGGTATTGTGCTGAAAGCAAACTTTCTTCTGGAGTATAAAATTTGAATACTAAAGATGTGACTTAAAACAGTGGATGTTACAGCCCAGGAATGGAAGACTGGATTTGTAATTTGTACCTTTGGTTCTTTTTTGTTTCGTGAGCTTCATGGGAAACTGTAATTTAGAACTCTGTTTTCTTTTAAATACTCTCTTAGGGAAGCTCAAGGAAAAAATAACTCCCCACAAAAGATTACTTTTATGAACATCTTCAAGGGAAAAAATAAGCTTATATATGCAGTAGTGGTTCTGGCCTCCAGGGATATCTTTCTCATTGAATGATTACATAGCCTGAGTCTTTCACTGTTCCTGTTTTCAGTCTGAGCTGTCATTATAAGATTGGGCACAGAGAGAAAGTCCTAAAGTAACAGCAGAGGAATGTATATTAGGAGAAGCCCTGTAAAACATACTTTATACTATTCCTTTATTATATTTAACTGGCATTTAGGTATGGCTACAGTTTTAGAAAAACACTGTTGACAGATATTATTGGAATGACTTCAGTATTCAACTTAAGGCTTAGCTACATTTATTTAACTCATATGTCATTAAACCTGAGACACGATTTCTTTTCATATGTAAAGCAGCATAGCAAATAATTGCTATGACAAAGTCCAGCAAGATTAATCTGCCATATTGTCCTTCATCTGTTTACCTTTTTGAGGGGAAAAGAAATGGTATACGGAAATTCATAAATCAGACTACAAAGATACTTAAAGAAAACGCTGGTCTAGTGAAATTCACCCAACATTTTTTAAGGTGTCACTGTTTTCTGACTTTCTCGTAAGTTTTATGCAGCCATTAAATATGGATTGGATTGTCATACATCAGCTAACCAAAGTGCCTAAAATCAAACTGTGCCTTTTACACCTACTGAGGTCTGACCCTGTGTTACACCATTCCATCATAAGAAGATTGAGTATCAGAGGTTTCTACAACATGAAAAACCACTATGCTCAGCTACCAATTAACTAATATATCTAACACAGTAGCCAAACATGAGACAGTCGTTAAATAAAAAAGTTTCAATAACTATCAAAAAAATACCTTGAATGTAAATTGCTCATTGAAAACAGGGTTAAGGGTCTTTCTGTGGACTTTTGTCTCATATTTCTTCTTCTTGTCAGGCAGCAGGAAAACTTTCACATAGGGATCAGATGTACCACCCATATCTAATGCAGGCAGCTCAGCTGCTTGAATAATTCCAACCAGAAGCTGAAAAGAGAGAAAAACAGCAGAATGAAATTTCAAATAGATATTTATAAAAAACCCCCAAACTGTAACAGAGAAATAAACATGGAGACTCTATTTCTGGTCTACGAAAAAATATTCCCCTCCTTCAAGGAAGGCAAATGAAGCAACACTATAGACTTTGGAAAACCAATTATGGCAGATGCAGACTCTACAAAGGCTGTTTTTAAGCAGAAAACAGGTTTTCAAAGGGCAGCTGATTACAGCTAAATACAGACTTCATCTTTTTAAAGACTGCAATCAAATAACTTTCAATTGCTCCCTCCTCTTGTGCATTATATTTCTATGCTGGGCACCATGAATAGAAATCACATTATTAAACAGTCAAGAATGTCTAATTTTGACTACAAAATTTGTATTCTAAATCCCCAGCATGTAACCTTCCCCCTAACCAAACACAAAAAGGTGATATATCAAATGCAAATCCTCAAGCAGAGCTTTGCTGAAAAGAAATGGATTTCGCAGTTTTCCTTGTATTTAACTTCTCTTGCTATGTATACAAATGGGTTTAGATAGTAAATTAAGGACAACATTTTTGAAAAATACCACATAAAAACTAACCTTTGGTAACTAAACCCTAATAACAATTTGTAATCTCATTGCAAGCCAGAAAAAATCAGTTTCTTAAATCTCTTCTGTACTTTTAAAAGTCAGACTGAAACACATTTGAAACTTGTAAATACCTTGGCAATTTTTTAAGTGTTACAAACAAAGGGTTATGTTATGTTATGTTGTCATGTTATGTTATGTTGACATATCAGCTTGTATTAGGCCTCATCACCACAAGGGAGTTGAGACAAAGAAATACTTTTAATCTAGCTTCATGTCAGAACTAAGGTAAACATTCAAGTGAGTCTTCAAGGTCAATGTGGAGGCAAGATATTAAGAACTGAGGATGAAGTCTGATAATAGTTCTTAAAAATCAGTGTTTCAGTCACAATATATTTGTTTCTCTCATAGATGAAGTGTTCAAAATTGAAAACAGAAGCTCTAACAAATGAAATATAGAATAACATAGTCAATCTAGAAAAGAAACTTCTGAGAGATTTCTCAAAGCTGGACTTACTTTTACCAGTTCTAAATTCACAGTATGGTTTGCATATTTTCCAATGGAAAATTCCTGGGAAATTTTCCCTCTTAAGCTCCTAAGGACTCTTTCAATTAGAATTAAGCTATAATTTTATACATGCTATATGAAATTAGGACTCTTAAGATACAACATTTTCCTTTAGCTGTAAGACACACTTCTATCTCATTCTTTTCCTAGATGCATAACAGTTCATAAATACATGGCCAGATTCAGGATCTACGTCTAGTCTTTCACATCTAAGAGTGAAAACTAAGTCTATGACTTCTACTTAAAAGAATGGAAAAGCAACTGAATTGCTTTAAAAAAATTCTTTCTCTAAAACTGAAGCATCATACTCTGGAGAGTATACTGGTCATCCTGTCTCCATTCTCAACCTTGTGCAATATATTAGCCAGATTTTTGGTCTGTAGTTTCATGCCACTGCACTATACTAACCTAACTGAATCCCCTCTTCTACTCTTTTATATCTTCTATCCCCTGACAAATTCCAAGCTGCAACGTAGTTTTAAGCAGCAAAATAGGCATCCATGACTCAATTTATTACCTTAATTAAATACTACACACTTTTACAGATTTGTTGCTCTCACATCCTATTTTCCTTTGTAAAATATAATTCATGAATCAACATTTCCTTTAATAAAATTCACACAAAGTTTGTTTTCATATTCTAACAAAACTGAAATCCATCTGTCAGAACATATTTGCAGCTTTTCCTTTCCCCCTCTTTAGACCTTCTGCTTCGGAAGGGTCTAACGCTTCACACTGATTTCATACTGATTTCAAGGGGGATGAGTGTGACTCAGCACATGGCCAGTCTTCTGGCAGTTGAAGAAAAGCTCCTTTAGCCACAGGTTCTCTAAAGGCTTCAGAATGATTTTTTGCTCTTGCATTGCAAATAAGCACTGGCAGTCAGGAGATAGTTGAAAAGACAGGAAAATAATATGTATTATGCCAGGTCATAGCTGTTGCTGACACAGAACATTTTCTTTATTTCTCTTATTTTCTTTGTCTTGCAGCAAGTAAGTGCACTGCATTCTAAGAACAGCAAAAACAAAGAAATTGACTGTGGAAAAAACCCACAAGTACATGTAAAAGTCAGTTCAGATGAAGAATAGGAATAAACAGGGATTTAAGTTCAGTAGCCATTTCTTTCCATAAATAGATAAGAATGATGTGGTTTTGACTTAAGCTGTCAAAAAATGAAATGAAAGGTGTGTATTCTCAAGTTCACTGAAAGCCATGCAATAAAAGTGAAGAAGTCCAAAGTTAAGTCAGTTTTAATGTGAGGCTGTGAATTGATATAATTGACAAAATGATCCCAACCACAGCAGAAGGCCAGGGAGGGCAATTAAATATGAGCTAGTTTAGGATGTGGTCAGACCTGTTAAGTAGGTTGATTCTAGGTCTGTATCATATTATGGTGCTTATTCCTACTGGAAACTTGGCTCAGTATGTGAAAGTTTGGTCTTACCAGTTTCAGAGTAGGGTACTGAAGGAGTATCAGTCCATGACTGGAGAGATTCCTCTTGTCCAAATTTTTTTGTTTGTTTGTTTGGTTTTTTTTTGTTCCAAACTAAAGTTTTCCTGGCTAGTAGATATACTTTAATGGACAGGAACACAACCTGATGCAGCTAATAATAGGCAATCTTATCAATTTGCTAAAAGACCCAAAACAAATTAACTTACTTCTATGTCCCTCTCTTCTACCTCCCATCTTTTGTTTGCTTACATTTTAAATACCTGAAGGCTGAAGCTATCTTTTACTGTCTGCATGCAGACTCCATAATATAATGTGGTTACTATAATGTGGTTTGACATTGATTGGTGATGTCTCAAGATAAAAAGTTATTAATAACTATTAGATAAAACTGTCTTCAATTTTGATTAAAGATGCAATATAAACTCCAAGTACATTGGATTCCAATTTACTAGTACCTCTGTCATGAATCTTCAGTCATGCTTTCTCCTTTTACTCTGTACAAGCAGTAAGGATTTCAGAAATAATCTACCATATTAAACGCATTACCTCATTCTCCCTTTGCACACACAGAAGTAAAAGGTTACAGGTTGGTTGTTTCAAACCTGATTGTTCTGGAAGTCATAATCCAAAGAATATTGGATTTTCCCTAACTTCTCCACTTCTTTTGGTTCTTCTTTCTCTTCCCCATCAGTCAGCCCAGTCTCAGCATCATCATCCTTAAGAGCCTAGAAAGAAGGAATATATTCATAAATAAGGTAAACTCTTCAGGACCAGTTTAGAATAGACACTGTCCTCAAATCTATGTAAAAGCCATTAAAAGCAAGCATGACAGCAGAAGTCCAAATATGCAATTTACATATATTTGTATACTATTTAGGTTGCTCAGGAAGATATTGTAAATCAGCAAGCAAGCAATGGAAGTAGGACGAAAGCTTCTTCGACTATTACAAGCAACCATTGTTATAAAACCTGAAAGTAGAAACAAAATACCAGCTCAATATGAAAAAATTCTTCTGGGCTCACACTGGCTCTTAAAGAGGCAAAAGGAGGCAAACATGCTATTAAATAAGCAAAGTCATACATTCATTCAACTTAAGAATATCTTGGCAATGTCAAACCTGGTTGTGCATGCTGTGAATTGTTTGCAATTGGCAACGCATTTCTGTAGGATTACTATGATTAAGAGCATGTGCTGGGGATGAGTTCTTCCTACAATCATATGCCAAACATTTTTCATGTTTATTTAGAATGAATATGGAAGCAAAGTTTTCACCATGCCATTAGCAAATGCATGTTTCTCTGTTTCTCTCCCTCCCGAGACCAATTTCCTTTTTATTCATTCTCACTATAAAGCTTGGCTGAACCAAATTGATTGCAAGTTGATTTTAGTTTGCTTAGGAGGAAACACAAAAATAAAGAAATACAGAACTGCTTACAGCTTTTTCTATTCCATAAACCCTGCTATTTTTAAAGGACACAGCAGTTACCTTAGATTTTATACATAATTAAAATACTAAATGATGTAATCATTTTTTACTGTACCAGAAAGCAGAAGTATTTGCACTGTGAAAAAGGGAATTCATACAATTATTAAACTGTATGAACAAGAACTAACTTTGTAGATCATATTCCAGCAGAACCTTACCTAAGTAAGAACTGAAAAATGGGCAAAAGTGATGAGACAAATAGTGAAAAATTGTGGAAAATGTGAAAATAAAGTTGATAGTGTGAAATCAAGGAATCAATACTGTGCGTTCACCCAGAATTGTTATTTGCGTGTTAGAGTAAACAGTATGCTTATTATCTATAAAAGCCCTGTCTGGACGAAAGTTCCTTCTATATGAAACTTCTGCTTGCACAGAACTTTTAAGTGCAAGAGTAAGATTTGTTATGCTCTTTTTTCACAATGTGAGGTGGTCTGAAGAACCTACAGCATTTATAAATGGGATGCAGCAGGAGCTCTTTATCTGAAGACAGAGCAAGGCTGGAAAGTCACTATATCCATAGTTGACGGCTGTTGGTGAAGGATGATTGAACATGAAAGCATTAACATTCTCACTCAGCCATGAACACAGTGGGGATCACACAACAATTGTGGAGGTGTGGTAAGAAGAAAGATTGAAGTAGAAAATGTTATTTTTCAGAATCTGGATCTAAACTCAGAAGGTCAGATGTAAAACTGTACAGTATTAAGCAATTATTTCTCTGATTTCAAAAATAAGCTAGAAATTCAGCTGGCACAGCTCAACTGAAATCAATGCAACAACATTGATTTATGCAAGCTGAAGAGTGGGGTTTGAGTTAAATGTCTGAAAGTTATTGAATGATGGACTCTTTACTAGGCACATAAATTACAGTGTACCTGGATGAGACTGGTGGGAAAAGTCAGCAGTGAATAGGAATCACCTGTGATACTGGAAGAGTAATAACTTTTGAACTAAACCACTTCTATTTCAAAGGGCTGAGCTGCCTAAAATGAAAATTATTTTATTTAAGTTGCTGAGCTGCTAGTAAGTTCCCTGGCTGTAGCACAACCTTTTTGTTAGCACAACAACAAAGGTGACACTTCAAAACTGACAGGCTCCATGGCAAGAAGCACAGCCCCCTGCAGAATCACATGTGGGCCTTTCAGTATATGGGGTGATGTGATTAGCAAAACACCTTGCTTTCATTGGCAATAAAAATAAGCTTGAGGTTTTGTGATAATGAAAAAAAAAAACCCAAAAAATGACTCAATCCAACTGAAGCAACCACATATATCAGAGCCTGGAGAAAACAGGAAGCAATAACTCAGAGTGGGATGTTAACTCCAAGACCCACTGCTCTGATTCATCCTAATACTGCCTTAATAGAGGACTCCATGACAGAACAGTGACAAACAGCTCCAGTATATCACTGTTTCTGTGACAGTTGCTGGATTTCTGCTGTTTCATCTACTTTTGACCTGTATTTTGTTGAAGAGGAAATATCCTACAGCCATTCCTCAGGGATAAAAGGCAGAATACAAAAAGAACCTTATATGCTAATTCCTTGGTATGGTGAATTTGTGACTATTGCACTAAGACAATTGTGACATAATCATTGCTAGGAAAATGATATACTCTTCTGCATAGCTGATCAATCTGGGAGATGCCAGAGCTGTAGCTAACTCAATGTGAAAAGATTCTTACTTATATTGAAAATACAATGGGAAGCTAACATCCCTCTTGCAAGGGAATTTTGAAAAGCAGGCAGAAAACATTGCTGCAGGCTTGGTTAACATTGCTTGGTTAACTCTGCACAGGTTATGAAAGGCCTGTTGGAAGGTGAAAGTCATCTCCTGGGGAGATGGAAAACATTGCCTGTTACTCACATCAGCTGAGGAGCTATGATTCTTCTTGGCAATGACTCAGAAACACTGAAGCACTAAGAAACATTAAGAATGATGGTGTTTAGATTTGGCCAAGGTCATGGCATGGGGGGAGGGAAGAAATGACAAATTATTATGTCTACAGGAGTCTGTACATAACCATTTATACTGCCAAGAAAAGAATTTGCTTTCGAACTAGAGGCCAAAGGTACAAGAAGTTGAGTCAAAGGAAGCACAGAAGTTTCGTGTTTGATGCAGCTGCTGAATTCCAAAGAGGAAAAAGAATTGGACTGCTTCAAAGTACTTGAAACACCCCGCAGGGATTTTCATTTTGTATTGAGATTCTCTGAAAGATCAATATTTAATGGAATAGTATTGCAACCCTCAATTTATAGCACACTGTATCACACTATATTGGATCCTACTGTTGTATTGTTACAATCAATTAAAATAAGCAGCTATATTTTACTGGTTTTAGAAACAATAAAATATTTTTAATTATAAGCTAGCTTTTTCCTCAAGCCTCTTCAACTGACACAACTGTAATCAGAAAGCCTGGTTTTAAATGCAGAGGAATATAAGCCTTGCCTTTCCTAATATTTCTTTTAATTCCATGACATTTAAAATGCTTTTTCTGTGAAATACACAACACAGAAATGCCTTATTAGATTGTGCTGGAGACCAGATTTATTTTTTTCTAATTTGTGATGTCTGTGAATTTCACTCAAGTGCTTTCTTCATTTCTGCACAACAGACGCACACAACAATGAAACCCCTATATCCTCTTGCATATGTAAAGTATCTGAAAAATGAAGGCTTATACGTAAGCAGGTCTAGGAATGTACAAAAAAAAAGTGCTTATCCAATGCATGCATTACAAGGTGATACATCCAAATCTAATGAAATCAGCAAGTGGGAAAAGTTACTTTGTGCCAGGGACCTCAACGGCCACACAAGATATATGTTTTCTTGACCTGGAAGACAAAATGAACTTTTGAGCAATCTCTCATTTCATCCGTATTTGAATGAGTTCTGTAATTAGTTCTAGTACCAAGGGACATAAATCTACTTACACCATCAGAATTTTCTGTGCCATGTTTAGCTAATAATGTTTTACTCTCATCTACATCTCATCTGCTTTGTAGTGGTTTCTGCAACAAACAGTGCTAAATTACAGTGATCTGGGATCCACAGCTGAATCTGCTGGTTGTTTCTTTACTTCCATAACATAACTAAGAATGGTTTCACAGTCTCATCTTTTCTTCTGGGTTGTTAAAGAAAACACTTTGTTTTCTTTTATTTTTTTTTTGATCTTGCACCTTTTGCACTACAAAAAGAAAGAAAACCCAAAACTGCTTGTAATTGCAGCTCTGCAAATTCTACACCTTGCAGTGGGTTTTTACATTTCCTGGGCTTCGTCCCCTTCTTATTTCCCTAGCTGCCAAAGCCTTCTTCCAGTGGTGCTGCCTCCAGATACTAAGAACATCCCTTTCTTCCAGCTGTTTCTTCAAAAGCCCTGTACCTCGTCACTGGGTTTACCCCATTACTTTCCACCACAAACCACAGAAGAGGTTCTGGGGATTAAAACAGCTTTATGTACACTTTCATTTAATCCCTTCCAAAACTATGTGTAGAAATCGAGAGGGTTTGCAAGGTATTTAGCATAGCTGGTCTGCTGGTTGCACATGTGCAGAAGCTTGAGGAAAGTGAACTGAGACAAGACTCTAACAAAGCTGCTGGCAAAACAATTGTACTTCCTTGTCTCCTGTACAGACAGGCAGAGGCTGCAATCATGTCTGAGTCACCAGGAGGATGCAAAGACCCATGAAAGTGTATTCTGCGCTTTGATTCTGGTCACAGTTACCCTCATATCTCAACGTTAATGCCTAGTTCATGTCACAAGCTATTTAAGACTGCAAGTGTCTTTCACTGTCATATGCAAAGAAATGCTTTCACTAACAGTGTTTTTAGGGTTCCTTCCACTTATGGGGTGGCCTATGTCCTCACTTTAAAGGAAACAAGTTACCAATTATCATGGAGAGATGTTAGGAAGGGAAACATTGATCGCAGCCTGCACAGTTATTTGCTTCACAGTGCATGCTGCCATCCCGAGTTCCATCTCTGCCTGCCCCATCAATCATTTCCTTTGTTCACATTGTGAAGGGGATATTTTTTTAACATGTGAATGATGCCCAATCCTCAGGCTTGTGCAATGCCTGCTGAGCTGAATGGAAGAAAACAATATGATTTTGCAGTGAGAGTGTTCTGTGCCATGTCCAACAATGAATTTATCAGAAAGGCAATTTTTCCTCCACACCTAGGAATGGCTGCATTTCCACTAATGGCGGTGCCCCTCTTATCAATTTCTTTCACATT